CTCCTCTGCGTGACTGCCGCCTGGGCCTGGCTCACCCGGGCCCCCGGCACCTGCCTGCTTTTCTGATCCAGCCAAGTCGGGGGGGGGGCCTCACTGCAGACTTTAACAAGTGGGGTGTGAATCCGATTTAGCAATGTCACACGTGGGAAGCAAACATGGCATCATTTGTAAAGCAAATGCCCCTTCTCGCTTTAAAACTGAGACTTTGGTGGCACTGTGACCACTGAGCCGGCGTGAAGGGGGACAGACCGAGGGGGTTCCATGCACACAGAGGAGAAGCCCGCTCAACCTTGCGTGTGGAGTCCCTGGGGCGGCGAGGGCCTTGGCACGCATGCAACACGGGCTGGAAGGACCTAGTGATTGACAGCTATCAACCTGTGCTCACTGGCACCAAGCAGAGGGGACAGAGGGAGGGAGCAGGTGACTATAGGCCGAGACCAAGTCCAGGCTCAGCCTCCCTCCTCCCAGCGAATCAGCCCCCTGTTGAAAGCCCTCAGTATACAGGGCTCAAGCGACAGCCCGAGCCAAATGCAGGCAGAACGGTGGGTGCAGAGAGGAAGAAGGGAACAAGCAAGATGAGAAAGGACCCAAGCCTGCAGGAGCCCAGGCCCCAGGCCCACGTGGAGTCATCTGGGGGTCTGATCTGAATCTTGCAAAAACCCGGAGCTGGGGATCCAGGGGGGAGGCTCAGGGGAGGACAGAGATCATTGGGTTGAGACCACCTCCAGCTGCCCCTGCCACACTGGGGGAGTGAAGGGTGGGTGGCAGGACTGGGCTGCCACCTGGGTGTGCTGCGGTCCTGCCCCCGGACCCGACCACTCTGAGAAAGCCGATACCTGCGCGTCCACCTGAGGTCATTGTGGGACTGAGGCTGGCTGGGTGAGTCAGGCCCTCGTACGGCTGGCAGAGAGGAAGCCGGCAGAGGCCTGGCCCTGCAGAGCACGCGCCTGGGTGTGGAGCCAGCAGACTGGCCACAGGTGCTGGGCAGGAGTGTCCCCAGCAGAGCCTCGGAGTCTCTCAGTGCAGCGAGGATGGGCCAGGCCCTTGCACAAGAGGGTGCAGGCCTTGGCACTGACGGAGGCATGGGTGTTTGGGATGCAGGGCGCCGCCGGCGTTCCCCCAGTTGCCTGCCTGTCCTGCCACCACTCATGGGCTCAGCTCTCTGAATGCCCCCCAGGCCAGGTTACCTTGCACCCAGTAAATCCAGCTGAACCTGCCCTTTGGACCCAGGGATCTCCCCACAGGGGAGGGGGTACATGATTTCCGGGACTCAGAGGTCACCTATGCCCTTGGGCAGGGCTTGGGAAACCCTTCACTTCCCACTGTGACATAAGTGGGTGTTGGCAAAATAGGACTGACAGGCCAGGAGCCCATTGTCCTGCTGGCCAGGCACCTGCTCACCCCAGGCCACTGAGGATGGGCCAGAGGGTATAATTCTCATGGGAGAAGGGCCTAGAGACACAGTAGGTGAGGGGAGACCTGGAGTCAGCTGATCTCTCTGCAGGCACAGCTGTGTGACCTCACACTGGTGACTGAACCTCTCTGAGCCTGTGTCCTCATCTGTATGGGAGGATTACAGACCCTGCTCACTGAGCTGCTTGGGGAAGGGGGGCAGGGCAGTTCCCGCTGCAGCTCAGGAATTTGGGGGGGCAGTTAGCAGTCCTCTCACAGGTCCTCCCAGAGCCTTCACAAGCACATGCACTTGAGCAAAGGACTTCCCCAGGGCCCTCGCTGCTCCAAGTGCAGACCCTGTGGGCAGACCCTGCCTCCTCCTGCCACCCTATGGAGTGGTCCTGCTCTACTCGCTGTCCCGACTGCTCTCCTGCCTACGCTCCCTAGCGGCACCCTCCCAGTCTTGCTCCTCCCTCCCCTCAGGGCCCCCACCCCCACCTCTCATCTGAAGATAAAGTGGTTGTCCCCACACACAGAGCTCCTCCATGGTGACTCTGGCCAACCCTCTGCTTCTGGGGAGACCCCGCCCTTGCCCATCCTGCAGCCACAGGGAGCCCTCCCTGAGTGTGCTGGGCCCAGAGCCGGGGACGTCTATGCCGGAGTCTGCACACCCCCGTGCAGGTCCCTGCAAGGCTGGCAACCTCACCCCCCGATCCTAGCAGCCCGGCCTGGGACAGAGCAGGAACCATTAGCCCTTTCCCGGGGAGCAACCACCACCTCAGGCTCAGGGAGGTGGCCGGTGGGGCTCGTCATCGCAAAGGGCACACGGGCACCTGTGGTGAAGGCGCAGACGTGTTCCAGGGGCCTGGGCTCTAAGTCCCTGCCTTGCACCCCTGCTGTGCGCCCCTGTGCAGATCCCCTGCTCTCTCTCTGAGACCCAGTACAGTCCTCTGTACAATGAGGAAGTTGAGAGCCTCCAAGATGGGCACAGGTGTGTGTGGTGGGCACAGGCGGGCGCGGTGGGCACGGTGGGTGTGGGCTGGTCACTGCAGCACACCACCTCGCCTGTCCACGCAGCTGTGTTTCTTTAAGAAAGAGATGAGCGAGAACAGACGCGAAGGCCAGGGGGCGGGAGCCAGGATGAGGTCAATGTTTGGTTTCCAACGAGAATAAACAGGCCTGGGCTGTGCAGGGGCAGCGCCCAGTTGGGGCAGCGCCATAGGGAGGTGAGGGCAGGTGGGCGAAAGGAGCCGCCCTGGGCCATCACCCCCTCCGGTGACAGGGGCTGGCTGGCCCAGGAGCCACCCCGCAGCCAACCCCTGGTCTCAGCGGGAGGGCAGCAGAGGGCCGGGGAGGGGACCCCGGGGGCTTTGAGGGTTGGAGAAAAGGGGCCGAAAGGTCAGGCTGTCCTAACCTTTCCTTCTAGCATCAGGGTGAACCGGGGATCCAAGGTCACTGGTCCAAGGTCGTAGGCTTGGCCAGGACGAGAGCAGGAGCCTGGCCCCAGGGCCCGCGTGACCCTATAAAGGATTCTCGTCAAACCCCACATGCCTTCTCCCTGGCGCACGGCCAGCCGTGTATCCCGGGCAAAGTGACAATGTCAACAAGAGCCAGGGTCACAACCCCAATGGATAAAATAAGGAGCCTTACGTCCACACTGATAAAGAAACAAAACATGTCCACCACGGCCGCCGGGGGAGGGGGGGCCCTCGGCAGAACGCCGAGCGCTACGTGTCAGAGGACAGAGGGAGTTCAAGTCCCTGTTCCCACGGCCGGGTGGGCGGGACCCATGGTGACCGGGTGCCTGGTGAGGACAGCTCACCTGCAGAGTCTCAACGCGCCTCCCACGGCCACTCCTTCAGGAAGCTGAGCTGTACCCTCTCGGCGGGAGCCTGTGGGGAACTCGTAAACCAGCCGAGCCACGCTTGCTCCCAAGACCCGCGGACACCAGGCGCCTCGCGACAGCAAGTGTCACCCACACAGCCTGTCCTCTGGGCGGTTCCTGCCACCGTGGGGCCACGTCAGGCAGGGCCAACATGTGGCTGGTCCGCACTCTTCCAAAGTTTCGACGAAACCACAAAGGAAGGTGGGCCGGCAGCGCCGAGTGAAAGAAGGCTACAGAGAGGGTACAGTGCCCACCCACCCCACCCCACCCCCCACAACTGGATCCTGGGCCAGAAAGTCACGTCTCTAAACCTCCGTGGCTGGACAAGCTTGGGGTCGGTGTCCAAGCTCCTGAGGTTGACCACCATCCCATCACCATGTAAGTGACAGTCAGAGGACAGAGGAAGTTAGAAAGAATTTAGGGTGAAGGGGCGCGTGAGCTCCAACTTCTCTCACATGGTTCAGGAGAAACCACAGTCTGCACACGGAGAAAGAGTGAGCAAGCAATGAAGCAAAAACTACTGGCAACTCTGGGAGAAACCACAGGAGTCCTCATACTGTTCTGGCCACGTTTCTTCAGCTTAAAATTGGAGGAGGAGGAGGAGGAGGAGAAGGAGGAGAAGAAGAAGAAAAAGAAAAAGAGGAAGGAGGAGGAGGAGGAGGAGGCGAAGAAGAAGGAGAAGGAGAAGAAGAAGAGGAGGAGGAGAAAGGAGGAGGAAGAAGAGGAGGAAGAGGAGGAGCCGCCGGGCTGGTGTGGTTCAGTAGTTGAGCATCAACCTATGAGCCAGGAGGTCACGGTTCAATCAGGGAACATGCCCCCAGTAGGGGGCGTGCAGGAGGCAGCAGATGGTTGTCTCATCATTGATGTTTCTATCCCTCTCCCTCTCTCTGAAATCAATAAAAACATATTTGGGGGGAGAAAAATGAAGAAAACCCCCTTCATCACCATTTCCAAAAACTGGTGGGAGGCAATGGACCTGTTACCTGATCCTCACAGCAACCCCTGGAGAGAGATGCCATTCTTTCCATTTACAAGTGGGGAACCTGAGGCCCAGGTAGACCGGGTGACCCACCAAAGATCACGAAGCAGGACGGGGTGCTGCTGGGATGGGAGCCCAAGGCCCATGCACGAGCTTGCCCAGCAGAGCACGCAGTCCCGGGGCTGCCCGCTCACTACCTCCCAGCCTGGGGGCCACTCCGGCCGCCTGAGAGATGCTGGGCCCTCAGCCACTGCCTGGCTCGCTCTGTGACCCCAGACAGATGAGACAGTGCCTCTCCCTGCCTGTGCTGAGCTCCCCCACCTACAAGGACCCCCACAGCCTGCAGGACATGAAGCCAGCTGCAAGCAAGGGGCTCTTTGCGGAGTGGTGACAGGGCCTGGTGGAGACGCTGGTCCGGAGAAGGGCTGCAGGGGCCACCAGGGCTCCCTCCCGTCTGCCCCAATGACATGCCACAGAGATGCCTCCAAGGGCCCCATCAATTGAACTTAATTCGCTCCCCCCTCGGGATGCCTGAGGCGGAGGCGAGCTAAAGCATTCTCTGTGCTGACAAGCGAGCAGGCGCGTCCTCATCCTCTCACATCCACAGACATTTAGGAATAATGGCGTCTTAGTCCACATCCTTCCAAACACAACACGTCCAGAAGATGAAACATCACAGAAGAAAATGCATTTCCAGTTCAGTCTTAGGGGGAAAACCATCTCTGATTCACTTGAGACATCTGTGTCAGTATTAGAGCAACCCGGGCAACCTGCATGGCTTCAGGGTCACCCTGAGCCTCCAGGCCTCCAGCGCTGGCTGAGGGCAGGTCACTGCAAACAGTGGGGAGACGGCTTCGGGCTGGGCTCCGACCTGAACCAGCGGTAGGAGTGTTACTCCGCCTCTCTGAGCGTCTCTCCCGCGCCCTTCGCCCCTCCCAGGGAGCAAGGGTGACGTGCCCCTTCTGAAGCATCGGCTGAGCCAAGCCCGCCGGGACCCTCGGAATGGGACTTCCTTAGGAAAAGGGTCTTTGCAGATGTAATCAAGGTCGACATCCAGCTGAGATCATTCTGGATCCGGAAGGACCCTGAGTTTATGCGAGTGTCCTCTTACGAGACAGAAAAGGACACAGCGCCCGGCCAGTGTGCTCAGTGGTTGAGCGTCGACCTATGACCTGGGAGGTCACGGTTCGATTCTCGATCCGGCACAAGCCTGGGTTGTGGGCTCGATCCCCAGTCGGGGGCATGCAGGAGGCAGCTGATCGATGATTCTCTCATCATTAACGTTTCTATCTCCCTCTCCCTCTCCCTCTCCCTCTTCTCGCTCTAAAGTCAATAAAAACATATTTTAAAAAAAGGAAGAAAGAAAGGAAAGCAGGGAGGGAGGAAGAAAGAAGGAAGGGAGGGAGGGAGGGAGGGAGGGAGGGAAGAAGGAAGGAAGGAAGGAAGGAAGGAAGGAAGGAAGGAAGGAAGGAAAGAAAGGAGGGAGGGAGGGAGGGAGGGAGGGGACATTTCAGAAAGAGCCGTGTGAAGATGGAGGCAGAGACTGGAATGATGCAGCCACGAGCCAAGGAATGCGGAGGGTGGCCAGCAGCCCAGAAGCTGGCAGAGACGAGGAGG